GATAAATTAGACTTCATCAAAGTGAAAAACTTGAGTGCCTCAAGAACACCATTAAGAAAATGAAAGGACAATCAACAAAATGGAAGAAAATACAGACAAACCATATACCTAATAAAGGTCTAGTATCCAGAATTTATAAAGGCTTCTTATAATTCAATAATAAACAGATATACCAAGAATGACTATAATAAAAAAGATTAATAACAAGTGTTGGCAAGGAAATAGAAAAACTGAAACCCTTATGCACTGTGGCGGGACCATAAAATGGAATAGCTGGCTTTGGAAAAAAGTTTTGGCAGTTCCTCAAAAGCTTCAACATAATAGTTAGCATATGACTCGGCAACCCCACTCCTAGGTATAGACACCCAGGAGGATCAAAACCGTATGTCCACACAAAAACTCATACAGGATTGTTTGTAACAGCAGCATCATTCCTAATAGCCAAAAACAATCCAAATGGCCATCTGGAGATGAACGGGTAAACAAAATGTGGCGCACACCACACAACGGGGTGGGGTTCAGCTGGAAAAAAGAGTGAGTACTAACACATGCTACAACATGGTGAACCTGGAAAACATCATACTAAGAAACCAGATGCAAAAGGCCGTATATTTTATGATTCTACATATGTGAAACAGCCAGAACAGGAAAATTTGTAGACACAGAAGGCAGATTAGTGTTTGTCAGGGCCTGGGAGAAGGAAGAAATAGGGAGTGACTTCTTAAAAGTACAAAGTTTCCTTCTGGAAGGATGGAAATGTTCTGGAACTGGTTAGTGGTGATGGAGGCACACTAATCTGAATGTACTAAATGCCACCAAATTGTATACTTTGAAAAAGTTAAAATGAATTTTGTGTTAGCTTTACTGCCAAAAAAGGGGACTGAAGTACTGAGCATGTAACAACATAAATGAACCTGAAAACATTATGCTTAAGTGAAAGAAGCCAGACATACCATCACTTGAACCCATGTATGTGACATGTTCAGAACAGGCAAACCCACAGAGACAGACAATAGGTTAGTGGATGCCAGGGACTGAAGGAAGTGGGAACAGGGCGTGGCTGCTGGTGGACATGGGGTTTCTGTCAGAGTGATGAAAATGTTCTGGAATTAACAGTGGTGATGGTTTTACACCCTAGTAAATATATTAAAAACTATAGGATTATACACCTTAAAATGGTGACCTTTGGATTCAAGTCAAGAGGGCAGAGTACTAAAAGACAGTATTGGCATTCTCCCATGACCATACCAAATGATAACTAAACTACAGAACAACCATCATTTAGCTAACATCTAGCTAAACAGAACTCCTATAACTAAGGGGACAGGGGCAGAAATGCAGAATAGCCTTGTCCCATTCCCATGTGTGGCATTTAAAAATTAGGAGGGATATCTCAGCTATGGGGGTCCCCCCTGAAAAGCAAGGAGTCCCAACTGGGAACTCCTTGGAACCCAAGACACCTCCTGGGTGTCTAAAAGCAAGGAACCAAGCCCCCTAGCTCAGGGTTCCAATGCCAGGAAAAGAAGCCCCCGTAATTGCTGGTCGTGAAAACCAGATTGTGGCTGAGTGAGACAGAGGGCTGCTGGAGCTCCACGTGTTCATCTCAAAGGGGCAGACGGAACTTACTCAGACTCACTCTGAGCTCCAACACTCAGGCAGCAGCTCAAAAGGCACCAGGGACATACAGGGAGCAACCGAATTGTCTGGCTTTGGGGTAGGGCCTGGAGGGGCAGCTTTCTCCCAAACTGAAGTACCCGCAGAAGCCATTGTTTCTTTGCTGAGCCATCCCCCTGCAGATGCAGCTGAAGGCCTTGGTAGGGTGGGATATCTGAGCCTTTATCAACCTAACACTCTGCCCTAGTGATTTACTGAGACCCACCGCACCTGGCAGGCCCACCAAGCCACTTCCACTGGCTTTTCCAAACAATCTGTCTTGGCTCATGCAGTCCTAAATTCTCTCAAAAGTTCACAAACCCCAAATAGGCAGCATCTGGGCTTGGCAGGCCTATACCTCTTGTTAAGTGGCCTCATGCCCAGCAGCAGCAGCTGGACTCAGTTCACAGCCTGGCCTCTCTTGGGCACGTCCAGGCCCAACACAAGGAGCAGCCATCGGCAGATCGCATTGTAGCTCATGCTGAGTGGCCCCAGGCAGGGCACTGTCTGTGGCTGACCTTCACCTACACCTCCCCAGAGGCCTCAGAGCCAGCATACCCTATGGCCAACTTCAGACCTTGCCATGGCACCACCCAACTACCTACACAAGCGACACACTCAAGGAGTGGACTCAGCAGACACCAGAGCCCCACCAAAGCAAGTTCTGCTCCATGGGGTCAGCCCCTGCACAGCAGCTCCTCCACTGTAGTTGCAGCTGGTCCTTGTGGCCTATCGGTGTTGACGCGGGGAGGAGAGTTCAATCCCTCCCACTGATACACCAACAGCAATCCAGGCTCAACTATAGTGGGAAGGTACACAGCCCACGTGGGAGCACAGCTGGAGCACCTGGCTCAGGTGGTTTGAAGACCGCGTCACTGGGACCTATGGGAGCCCTGCTATATAAGCCCACCCTACCAAGACTGGAAGACACAGCAAATCTACCGAATACACAGAAACAAACACAGAGAGGCAGCCAAAATGGGGAGGCAAAGAAACATGTCCCATGCTCAAAGAAAGGAGTGAGAACTTCAACAGCAGAAAAAAAAAATGATATAGAAACCATAAAAATGAACATGTCAGAAATGAAGAATATAATATCTGAAATGAAGAATATACTAGAAGAAATCATCTGTTGATGAACTGAAGCAGATAATCAAACCAAATCAGCAATTTGGAAGACCAGGTAACAGAAAATACCCAAATTAGAGCAACAAAAAGAAAAAATAACTTTTTAAAAAATGAGGAGAGTTTAAGGGACCACTGGGACAACATCAAATGCAACAACATCTGCATTGTATGGGGACCAGAAGGAGGAGACAGAGCAAGGGACTGAAACCCTATTTGAATAAATAATGACTGAAAACTTCCTTAACTTGGTGAAGGAAAAAGACACACAAGTGGAGGAAACAGGAAGAATCCCAAACAAGATGAACCCAAAAAGCCCATGCCAAGACACATCATATTAAAATGCCAAAGATTAAAGACAAAGAGAAAAATCTTAAAAGTGGAAAGACAAAAGCAGTTAGTGACCTACAAGGGAGCTCCCATAAGATTGTCAGCTGATTTCTCAACAGAAACTTTGCAGGCCAGAAGGGATTGGCAAGAAATATTCAAAGTGACAAAAAGCAAGGGCCTACAACTAGGGTTACTCTTATCTAGATAAAGCTATCATGTAGAATCAAAGGAAAGATAAATTCCCAAACAAGAAAAAGCTAAAGGAGTTTATCACCACCAAACCAGTAGTACAAGAAATGGTAAAGTGTCTTCTTGAAGAAGAAAAATGAAAAATATGAATAATAAAATGACAATAACTACATATCCATCAATTACTTTAAATGCAAATGGATTAAATGCTCCAAGCAAAAGATGTAGGGTGGCTGAATGGATAAGAAAACATGGCCTTTACATATGCTGTCTACAAAAGACTCACTTCAGATCAAAAGACACAGACTGAAAGCAAAGGGATGGATAAAGATATTCCATGAAAATGGAAACAAACAAAAAAGCTAGGGTAGCAATACTTATATCAGACAAAACAGACTTTAAAACACAGGCTATACAAGAGACAAAGAAGGCCCTGGCTGGTGTGGCTCAGTGAATTGGGCACTGGATTGTGAACAAAAAGGTCACCAGTTCGATACCCAGTCATGGCATATGACTGGGTTGCGGATCAGGTCCCCACTGGGGGTACCTGAGAGACAACCACACGTTGATGTTTCTCTCCTTCTCTTTCTCCCTCCCTTCCCCTCTCCTAAAATAAATAAAATCTTTTTGAAAAGAGAGACAAAGAAGGACCCAGTAATTCCATTTCTGGGTATTCAACCAAAGAAACCCAAAACACTAATTCAAAAAGACATATGCACCTATATGTTCACTGACAGATTATTTACAGTAGCCAAAATATGAACACAACCTTAGTGTCCATCAGCAGATGAATGGACAAAGAAGAAGCGGTGCATATACACAACAGGGTATGACTCAGCCAAAACAAGAGAATGAGATCTTGCCACCTGAAAGAACATGGATGGACCTAGAGGGTACTGTGCTGAGGGAAATAAATCAGAGAAAGAAAAATGCCACAGGATTTCATATATATGTGGAATCTAAACAAACAAAAGAAACAAGCAGAATGAAAACAGACTCTTAGAGAAAACGTTTCGATGGTTGCCAGATGAGAGGGGACTTGGGGGGAGGGGTGAAAAAGGTGCAGGGACCAAGAAATAAAAATTGGTGGTTACAGAACAGTTACGGGGATGTAAAGTACAGCATAAGAAATACAGTCAATAATTGTGTAATACCTATGTATGGTGTCAGATGGGTACTAGATTTATCAGGGTGACCACTTCATAAGTTATATAAATGTCTAGCTACTGGGTTGTATAGCTGAAACTAATATAATATTGGACATCAACTATAATTGAAATATAAAAAATTATTAAAAATAAAAAAGAAGCCCTTAGGGACTCTACAGTGTGGTCTAATAAACCCTTCTGTGATGATAGAAATATTAAGAAAAAAAAATGACTTTTTATGGTATATGGATTAAATTTCAATTAAAACAGATTTTTAAAAGTAAATGACTACAGCAACTGAGTGTGAGGATGTGGGGAATGAAAGGAGAAAGCGGTAAACACAAACTATCAAATTTTTCTTCTTTCCTGGAATGGAGAAAGTTTACTTAGAGAAGTTCAGTATTAGAAACAACAATTTCTTTCCATGCTTTGTCAGATGTTTTGCTCCTTCGCTCTTTAACAGTCTGAAGGCATGAGTTTACAATTCTGTCATTATAGGTTAAGTGGTGCATCAGATGTATGCACAAAGACTTCAGACACTTTACATTTTCTTACCATTATAATTGGCCGCATCAGGATCATCCACATTAATGGCAATCACCTTCCAGTCAGTTTCCCCTTCATCAATCATAGCCAATATGCCCAGAACTTTCACCTTGACTATTTCGCCTCTTGCACATACCTGGGAGTCAATAATCACAGACAGGACAATACTATAGAATAAAACTTTGGAAGAAAAGCTTTGCTTGGTGGATAGTAAGAAATAAGGAAGATGCCAAGTTTCTGCAGACTCACCTTAAGACTGTTCCTTTAAGCAGTTTTTAAAAAACTAAATGAGTAAATGCCTACCAGTCTTTTCAAAGTTGAAAATGTACCTTTACTACTTACAGGTCCTAAGAGAATCAGTAACATGATCCAGGATAATTAATATTTTTTAAACTGTCATTGTTTGTGCCAAAGAATGAACCCTTCATAATTTGTTCCAAATATATATTTTAACGTACTTTCTCCACCTCTTCTTTTATAGAAGCCACTGAGTTAGATGTCATACAATATGACTGAATGACTTAAGAAACTGAATGACTACTTTTTTGTTTTCCCAAGCCTGATAAATATCATGAAGACATGTAACTACAGTCAGAATCTTAAAGCAACCCTACTTTGTAGAGGAATCCCTTGTACTGAGATGAAATTTGCCTCCTAATACCCTTCACCTACTGACTGACGTCATCTGCCTTCCAAAGCAATGCAGAACATGTCCACTTCTTCCACACATATGTAAGTCACATATGCACACGTTTTCTAGGCTAATTTTAAATATACAAATTGCAATTATACAAGTATACAAGTGCTTTAAATAAAATGGAAGTTTCTAATCACCCAAAGCGACATCATTATTTGTAATATTTTTAAAAGTGTGAATGTTATCTATTTCATTAATATCATCTGGGCACTAAAGAGAAACATTTCAGATTCCATTACCTTGCTTCCAATTTCACAGACATCAATCGGGTCATTGTCGCCACAATAGCCAGTGTGTTTGTCATTGTGTCCTGGGTCTTCCCAAGTCTAGAGGGAAGAAAGACTTAGAGCATATGGTTCCTATGTGTGCCACTGACCGAATGGGTCGTGCTGACATTAGAAGATAACATCACATGAGACCTTCTGAAAACACAGTAACCTGCAGCTATTTGTTCTCATTTAAAAAATTCCTTATTCATATCTAAGAATCTTAACTACACACAATAACTTTAATTAAATGCTAAGGCTCCTATTATGCATAGAACGCTACACTAAATTTAAGCTTTAAAATAGGTAATGGTCCTATTTAAAACCAACAAAAATCAACCACCTAATAACTGAGACAAATGCAGACACAGATATAGGCCTAAATATTTACTTTAAAAATATATTAAAAGGAAACTGCTTTGAGGAACTCTTGGTACTTATTATCTTCTACTAACTAGATTTTCTTTAAAATACATTTCCAAAGCAGAGGTTGGTAGGCAGTAACACTGCAACAGAAACTATGTGTTCTGATGGTAAAAGTGTCACTGCTGGCCAGGAGCCAAAATTAAAAAGTTTAATTAGGACTTTTTGAAGCTTCAAATTGCTGGCTTTCTTTCCTGCTAAACTGCAAGGGAGTCCTTGCAGAGCATCTCATAAAAGAACAGATGGCCTATGTTTGCCAAGAAGTGCAGTTTCAAACATAGCTGTTGTTTTGGCTCTTTTCTCCTCCAATCCAGAACTCATTTCTTGGATACGTTTGCCTACTCAGCTGGGATATGAAGGGTGACAAAGAAGACCAGGTCCCACAAAGCCTAATCCAGCCTACAGAAGAATAAGAATTTCAGTGTTTCCCAGATTGATATTTCAAGGCTGAATACTAAATCAACTGAAGTACAAGGTGTCTGCCTATAATTAAGGCAAACAACTTTATAATTACCTAACAAGCTAGATAAGCTTGACCTATGTTTGGTAACAGATTGTTTCATAGTAGATTCCACTTAATAGGCTTAATGGTTAATAAAAACAAACCATTTACCAACAGGAAAAAAATTAATTGGATATTTTGTGTAAAAATCCTGAGGGCCACAGCATTATCCTAGCCAAACCAGAATTAAATCCATCATTCACTCATAAAGGACCCGACTCTAGTGATTCTTTATTCAAATGTTACATAAAGACCCACTGCACACTGGCATAGGGCTGGGGATTAATTCGTAAACCATGCAGACTCCCCCCGCACGCCCCAAGGGTTGACTGTTCAGGACAACAGAACCTTATTCTTACTTATGACAGAGGGCTTGGCTTAAGGAAGGAATCAGGACTCTAAACATAAAAGTCAACAGCTGTGTGAACTAAGTGCTTTCTTCCTCATAATAGCCACATGAACTAAGTACTATTACTAACTCAGGGGGAGATATTCATGTCTCAGGGAGGAAGAAACAGAAACCAACTAGGTAACTTAGCAAGTGGTAGCCTTGGTATTTGAACCCTAGTCTGTCTGGGGCCAAAAATCCATGCTTTTATAACCACTAGCCTATACTGTCTCTCTTAATAGATTTGCCACTCATTCTGTAAAAAAAGAATTTGTATAGTTTATAACTAGTCTCTATAGAAAGATAAATATTTCAAAAAAGAACTTTCAAATGTGAACTTCAACATTGTAAACAATTACCTTTCAATTTATCTCGAAAGTTATTCAAGGAAGTATTAAAATAGTTAATTACCCATTATGTTTTTAAAGTCTATTCTAGCAAAACCTTTCTGAAGGTGTTTAAATCTTTTGTTACTAACAGCAGTAGGTTAATTTTTTGGAGGCTAAAAAGTACATTTCCAACAATTGCACAGAGGCATACCTGAGGGATGGCACCGTAGTTCCAGATATATCCTTTATAAGGGAACAAATTTGCAACATAACGGAGTTTTCCTTTTTTCACATCTTGTTTAATTGGGTTTAAAGGCTCCTTTGTAGCAATCTGAAATTTAAAAATTTCTAATCATTGCATATTTGGAAGTGAAATACTACTCAAATAAAGGATATGCAGAAATTATGTATGGAATGCACACCTCCTAGTTCCACTGTAATGATGTATTATACCCCTAACGTTTTTATAAGTTCAAATAAAAGTTTCTCCACAGTCAGCCTTTAAGTGGAAAACATTTGAAGTTATGGAAACTATCAAGAAGGGAAAAAGAACATTTATTAATTCCAGAGAGCAAAAACTAAATTTACCTGGAATAAATCCTAACATTTGAGAAAATATTTTTATTAAAAAGGCAAAATAAATATTACCAAATTCAGCTTTCCTTTAAAGCATTTAAAATTACTGAAATCTTTGAATGTCTATTACATGCAAAGTGGGTTACATTCAAAAAGCTTAACTGATACAAAACACATAATAAATATCCATAACAAAAAGCCAAATATTTACTTAGGTGTCATCAGAAGGAAATTAACAAAACGTAACAGAAATTCTAATAAGATCATTTGTGGCTGGGGTGGCCAAGGAAAGCCTGTTGACTCTATGAAGTCACAACAGATTAAAAAAGAACAAGACAGAGGAGAAAAAGATAATTCCAGGCTTTGGGAACTCCAGAAGCAAAGGTATGGGGAAGGTAAGTCTGTAGCACATTTGTATATTGTAAACGGTTGAGTTTAGCTGGGGCACAGAGGTAAGACTGGAAGGCAGTGGGAGAAACAACTGGAAAAGAGAAAGAGGAAAACCCTGGGCTTTAGCTGTTTAACCCTTGAGCAAATCAGTGTGGTTAGATGAAAACCACCGTATTTTGCTGTGTATAATGGGTGCTTTTTGACCCAAATTTTTGAGGGAAAAATACGAATTAGCATCATACATGCATATAATGATTACATACCATGAGTATAATAATGACCTGTGTATAATGTGCACAAAAATGTGGGTGCGCATTATACACAGAAGCACATTATATGCGACAAAATGCGGTAACATCCTACATCTGACTGTCAATCTAAGACAAAACATACCTCCATTTTCGCATTAGACCAGCGTGGTACTTCAACCACCATGTGGAACACATCCTGAAAAACAAGGGCGGATGGTCACAGGAGCCAATGGGTTCTCTTCAATGAGGTGCCCCAGTCCTTCCAAAATTAACTGCTCATTGTTTCAGATCTCTGAAGCCATAATAAAATAGTTGTGTGGGTATGTGTGTGGAAAGAATATTTTCATAAAGAAAGGAAACAGTTTCTAAACATAACAGAACTTGTATCTCTGAGGAAGTCCACCTTCAAAAGCTATCATCTCCAAAGCCCATTCATTTCCATTGTGACTCTGCCAAGTACTCGAAATGATTCGGATCGCCTATTTCAGAGGTGGTTTATCAGACAAACCCCAAATCAATTTAATTACTTTGTCATACTTTAGTTTTAGCCTCAAAGAAAATTACTTAGCTTGATCACCCACACTATCCTCCCAATTTGGTTTGCTTACTTGGTGTTTAAAAACACAACAAAAGAAAATCACAGTCATCTCATTTTGCACACCTAAGTCACATACCAACTTGACCTATGGTGTTTAATTACAACTGAGCTTTAAGGAGTCAGAAAATTATTTTTACCAAGGAATAAAACTTTAAATTCAGTTTTTCAGTTTACAGCCTCTATAAGAGGCACACATGAAGCCAAGTCTGCAATTACTCTATTATACAATGTGTACTTTTAAAAGTTTATTTCAAATGAAAATCACAATAGTTACATAACTTCTTAGATTTACTTCTTTGCTAGTTTGCATTAAAAAATAGGGACTTATAGAACTGTACACCTGAAGCCTACATAACTTTATTAACCAATATCATCTCATAACTTTATTAACCAATATCACCCCAATAAATTCAATTTAAAAAAGAAGGACTGATGAGCAACAGTAAATCAAAGGTTTCAAGTCAATAATTACTGTGCTGCTATTTTTAACCAAACAGAAAAGCTACATAGATTTATGTTCAAGAGTGTAAAACTTCTGCCACTCATCTAAGTTCTTGGTTAAACCACAGGTGACTAAAATATGTTCTAAGCCTCTTGACACTTATTTGCCAACAACACAAAAACTACAAAGAATGGAGATAATATTTAAATCCAGGACTGAATAAACTGTTCTATCTTTGTAAAGTAATAATGGATGGTTTTAGAAAAGTAACATGAATTTTTGAGGGTAGTTTACAAGAACTGCATCTCTCTGCATCACTTTGGCATTAAAATGTAGGACCTGTAGATCCACGAGACTGGAGCAAACAAAGCAGGGGCTTTACCAGTCTCCGGCAGCAATACACTAACTGCTCACAAGATGGGGCTGTTACTTCGTGGGAGGTTAAACCGAGCTGAGACAGACAAGGGGACCGAAGTTAATTTTTTTAAAGAAAATATTATAAAATGAATACACTGCCTAGAAAAAAAGTAGCAAATAGAGCTGAAATCACTAATTCAAAGTTTGAAAACGACAATAAACACTCCAGGGGAATGAAATGGTAAATATACAGATCTCAAAACCACATTACCTAATATTACAAACCTGCACAGCTAATGGAAACCAAAACAAAAAACAAAACCACCAAAAAACATCATTAGCTGAGCCAAAAATAGCAAGGAGTATCCTGCAAGAAGCCACATATCCAACCAATTCATTTGTTTCAACAAATATTTATTAAACACTGCAAGTATGTGCCAGACACTTTTCTAGGCACTGAAGACCAGCAATGAACAGAAGAAAAGCTTTTACTTCCCTAAGGGCTGGATTTCCAGACCAGGTCCTTCTGGCTCGTTAGGCCTCATGCTACAGCTTGGGGCCCACAAACCTGCTGTGGATGAGGGACTAGTCTGTAAAATGAATGTTTTAGCACATTCTCAACTGTATGTAGATGCTGTAGTGATTACTGTATTCTTGATAAAAGCAAAGCAAAAAATGTGAAGTAGCTTTTAGTTATTACTTTCTCCATTAATTATCACAAAGAAATGTGCTTTTAAATATTTTGATATAAAAAGAGGTTTCTCATATATTAGCAGGAACTACTACTATTTCCCCTGGACAACATGACCAATTCAGGGGGTTGCCACTAGGTGAAAGTGAAACAATTTTCAGAGCAACAGATGTGAGAAGTTCAACCAATTATCCATTGCCAGAAAAACTTCTACTGTTAAAACCCGCATTCTCATTGGAACTCTTATGCACCAGTGGTAGGAAAGTAAAACGGCACAAGTCTCTGTGGAAAACAGCATAGTGGTATTTCAAAAAATTAAAAATGGAATTATTATATCGTGCATTATGGACATGGCTGACTCAGTCTTAAAGCTAATCTGCCATACTGATTCTTGTTCCCCAATTTGGGAATGTACACTGAAACTCTGTAATGAGCCACCCTTGACCTTACCTGTCTCTTAACCAGCTCTGACGCCAAAGCCCCGGGGCAGCTAGTGGCCCCCCTCCCCTTACATTCAACACACTCCTCTCCCAGCACCCAGACTCGGTGTTTTTAGCTGCAAAACACTGTGTGGAAGGCATGGGGGATACCCATGTTATCTTGCCACTGCCTAAGACACACCTTATATGTAATTTCTCTTAAATGCAATGCAGTATTCAAGTTGTCAGCCTGTCTCCAGTCTCTTGACCTTGGAAAATTTGACGTAATATACAGGGTCTGGCAGAGGTAAGGTTTGCTTGAGTGTGGTGGGTATAATAATTTACAATTTTAATTTGAACACTTCCCTAAAATGTCATATGGTGTGCTTGAGTGTGATATTGTTATGTTACAGAATTACATGCTCATGATTTTGTAATAAAAAAGGGGGGGTGTTATTTGTGCCAGACCCTGTATGTGATCTAGCGACGACACTTCTGGGTATATACCCAATGGAACTGAAAGTTAGGGTCCAGAACAGATATTTGTACACCTATGTTTAGAGCAGCATTATTCTCTGTAGCTAAAACATGAAAGTAACCCCAGTGTCCACTGGTGGGTAAATGGAAAAGCAAAATGTGATATATACATGCAATACTATTCAGCCTTAAAGGGAAGGAACTTCTGACACATGCTACAACGTGAATGAACCTTGAGGACATTGTGCAAAATGAAATAAGCCAAGGCACAGAAACACAAATACTGTATGATTCCCTTACACAAGACCCTGAAGTGACGGGGCTGGGCAGGGGAACGGGAAGTTATTACTGTTCAATGGGTACAGATTTCAGTGTCACCAGGTAAAGAGTTCAGGAGGTGAAGGGTGGAGGTGATTACACAATAATATGAATAAACTTAATACCACTGAACCGGATACTTAAAAATGGTTAAAATGGCAAATTTTATGTTACATGCACTTTGATAATTTAAAAATTGGGAAAGACACACATTATAATATTCCCAATGCTTATGTACTTAAAAATACTGAGACAAGATTTTAGAAAATTTAGTACCACCCAGAAATTCATACCTTTTTCCTTTAATCCTAACTGGTTTCAACTATTTCTTAGCTCAACTCTGAATTTATGGTTTTATTAGCCCCATCGTTAGGACTTCTCTGAACTCCACGTCTATGCTTTGGATTTCCCAATCCTTGCTCCGGCACCAAAGCCCTCAGAGCCCTGTTTAGAGTTACAGAGAAAGGAAAACAGCTTAGGATCCTTAGCAGGTTGATTTTGACAGGCCTGCAGAAGGTGGGGAAAAGGCAAACTACAGATTCAGCTCTGACTTCCCAAAGTCGGAAATATAGTAATCATTTAATCAATAAAGTAAGAATGTTAATATTAAAGATGCCCAAATTCTAAGGAGATTGAAAGCCTAACAAGCTTAAATTATAACATTGCATTAATCAAAAAGATTTGAAATAAATTTTAGGGATAGAAGAAATTTAACCTATTATCTTTTTATTTTTTCAGCTTTATTGAGGTATAATTGACAAATGAAATTATAAGACACTTAAAGTGTACATTGTGATGATTTGACATGCATATATATTGTGAAAGGATTCCTTGCCCCTCCCTGTCTTATTAATGAACATACCCATCACCTTACATATTTATCTTTTCTTTTTTGGGGAGGAGACATCATTTAAATCTTATTCTTTTAGCAAATTTCAATTACACAATACAGTATTAATCAACTATAGCCACCATGTTTTACATTAGATCTTCATATCTTATCTTATAGATGACAGGAGGTACCCTTACCAACCTCTTCTTATTTCTCACCCCCTCCAGTCCAATAACCACCATTCTACTTTCTGTTACTATGACTTTGACCTTTTTTTTTAAGATTCTACATACAAGTGGTACCACGGCAGTATTTGTCTTTCTGCCTGGTTTATTCCACTTAGCATAATGCCTTTCAAGGTTCATCCATGTTGCTATAATTTTATAATATATGTATATAAACAAGTATATATGAGACATATGAGGAGGGACCCCCCCCAAAAAAAACCCAAAATTATCTTCTGGAGGGCGAGCCCTTTGTAATACAGACTTCCCCCAGTAGGTGAGTGTTCTAGGAACCCATCTGTATCAGTGTACCAGCTGGTGTTGTTGTGAGAGGCTGTGTTAGGCTTCAGTGATGTAGTTTTTGACCAAAAAAAATGGCATGCTCCACCACCTCCCTGTGCACCACCCTACCTATTGATCCAATCTTGCCCTGAGCAACTTTTGTTTCTCAGGATGAAAAAGGGAAATATGTTTGTTTCCCAGGTCCTCAAAGGGAACTATTTTTGTCCAAGTGGAAAATGTGAAACAAACAAACAAAAAAACAGCAGAAGCACTAAAAGGCATCAAAATTGACAAGTTCAAAAACTATTTCTGAGCAGTGAAAAACACATGTTGCTAGGTGTATTGCATCAAATGAAGAGTACTTTGAAGGTGACTGAAGTTTAAACGTAAGAATGAATAAACAATTTTTTACAAATAAATTCTGGTTTTGGGGGGGTCCCCCCTCATTTATTTATATATACACACACACACACACACACACACACACACACACACACACACATATTTACATGTATACATATATACATGTATATGTATACATGTATATATACATATATACATGTATATGTATATATGTATATATACATATATACATGTATATGTATACATGTATATATACATATATTAATATATACATGTATATATATATGTCTCACATATAATATATACTTTATTTACATTACATTTTTCGTATCCATTCACCCATCGAAGACACAGGTTGTTTCCACATCTTGGCTACTGTGACTAATGTTGCAAAGCACAGGGGAGCGCAGACAGCCCTCAAATGCTGCTTTCACTGCCTCCGCGTTATACGCGAAAGTGGATTGCTGGGTCATACAGTCCACACACAGTGAGAACCCTGTATCGGGATCAGGCTTGCAACTCCACTGATTAAACAGGAATACTATAGTAGCGTGGTGATCACAGGTGCCATCTCCAAACTTTGTACTGAGACTTTGCTACAAGCACATTGTATGCATATTTAATCATCACAACTTAATTTTTTTATAAAGTTGATTAACCACAGACATGATTGGAATAGCTGTTTTCAAATTTCAGTCATCTTAAAGCTCATCTGAGGAGAAAAAATAGGAGCTTATTCTTTAGTTATGACAAGTTAATGAAGTTTCATTGTTATTAGTTTTCCTCTATGTTTCCAGTTCTAACTTTGGTCTGGAGAATGCAAAACCAAAAGATAAACAAAACCACCCAGAAAACCCAGACATGCTACATAAATAACAACTTGGGGAAGACAAACAGTGTTTATATTATTAATTCTGTGATATTTTTAAAATTTCAATTTATGGAGCTGTTTATAAAAAGAAGTAGAAAATTCAAAAGAAAGCAAGTTCGGTAAGAAAGTGAGTAATCTAAAAAGCATCCACTTGAGAAGTAAAAGAAATCTTAAAAAGTTTGGGTATGCTAACATAGTATCTTTAAAAAATTAAGAATGATACCTATAGCAAAAAATATTCTGCTCTATTTCTCAAGCATCAACCAACCTAGTTGATTAGAAGCTTGACTTTTTTTTTTTTTTAGGAGAGAAAAGGAACATAGCTCTATTATTTATATATGCTCCCAACAGTAGCCTGAAAAACAAGTAGAAGCCTATATTGTGAGAACTAGTATAGTATTTAACATTGAAGTTTAAGATGGAATAGGAAAATACCAAACTTCTAAAACTAAACAACAAATCATAATATTTGAATGCTTTCATATTTAGATAATATTTACCCATTTCAATTTGTGGTATGTTTTGGATTTTTAAAATTTCTGGTGTATTACTAATTTTATGTCTGCAGACATTCTGAGCTATAAGTGCTTTTTATATTTAATCCCCAAATAGACCCAAGGCAAAAGACTTTTTTTTTTAAAGATTTTACTTATGTATTTTTAGAGAGAGGGGAAGAGAAGGAAAAAGGGAGAGAAACAACATCGTGTGGTTGCCCCTCATGCACCCCCTAGGGGGCCTGGCCCACAACCCAAGCCTGTGCCCTGACTGGGAATTGAACCAGCGACCCTTTGGTTCACAGGCCCACACTCAATCCACTAAACCACACCAGCCAGGGCAGGACATTCTTATAAACTTGAAAAAGAATCCAGTGAGTCTTTGTCTTCTTCTATCCAAAGGATTTGGAAATAATCCTAGCAGAGTTCTAAGGATTCCCAGAATTGGCTGGATTGATTACCTAAGGGCAGATAAACTAAATTGAATGCTTTCCACATTGAAAGGTCCTGACTTGGAATAGGATAAGCCTTTGGGCATTTTTCCTTGGCAGAGCTGATTTAGGTTAAAGGTCCTTTCCCTCCTAATCACCTATCAAATGGATGACCATATTAGGAAGAAGGTCTATGGGCACACACACAAAAATGTATATAAATTTAACCATATTGGAATATTTTAAAATCACACTCTTCTGTAACCAACTGAATCAATTGATCTTTTATTTAGGCTACAGTCCAAAATAATTTCTGTATACCACACCCTTACTTGTTTTATACACCCTGAACTTCCTTAAAAACAAAACAACCCTTTCCTGCTTCTCAGGCAGGAATCTGAAGTGAAGTTCACTGAGGTCTGGACCACCAGTGAAATAGAGCTGTTGCAAGCACTTGTGCTTTTGAGCCATCTTTGGCTCAAAATGAAAATGCAAAGTCTTCATCTGAGTAATCCCAAGTTACAGTATAGACACAACCAATCCAGTCCAAGACTTTAAGGAGTCATAATACTTGGAGTGAAGATGTTTTCCATGAAACCAATGTAGCCTCAGTTTCCTATTCTAATATAACTTGAAGCAGCAATAAGAAAGAATAATAGCACAACTGCTATCATTCTGGTCCTTGGCTAGAATATTCTCTGATCACTTATTGCTATGGTCTCATTGTGTCTCCCTAAATTTCATAGGTCAAAATCCTAATCCTCAAAGATGATGGTACATTATGTGGGACCTTTGGGAAATGGTTAGGATGTGAGGGTAGAGCCCTCATGAACTCTTTTATAAGGGATTAGTGCCTTATAAAAGAGGCCCTGCCGAGCTCCCTAGACCCTTCTGCCACGTGAGGCTACACAGAGAGTTCTGCAGCCAGAAGAGGGTCCTCACCTGACCAGGCTGGCACCCTGACCTCAGACTTCCAGCCCCAGAACTGTAAGCAATACCTTTCTGCTGTTTATAAGCTATCCAGTCTGTGGCATTTTGGTACAGCATCCCAAAGGGACTAAGACACACACACACACACACACACACACACACACCCCTATACAATATATATCAAGAAAATGTTTCCTTCCTTAGTACATCTATAAACCAAAGTACCATCACTAAACATAGGGTCATCATTTTATAACTCTTCATTACTCAAAATGGTCTGAGATGTTACTGTAAAGTACTTTCTTGTACATACTAATTATACAAAAAAGACATTCAAGCTACCAAATGATGGCAATTCGAGAGGGAGGAAGGATCCTGCAGTTTCTATCAACTCCCAGGACACCAGATGTAACAAAATAGGTTTCTGAGTAAATACAACTTAGAGAATCCCCCAGGAGAACACATGCCAATTAGAGGTCCTCCTGTAACTGTGGCATGTAATTGGCCCGGGGCTGTCTGTGCCACTGCTTCCAGCTGGAGCCCGGCTCAGGCAGGCTCCCTGGAAGTGACACACGGGTTGGACTTTCTGCCAAGTGCAGCAAACTTCCTGGCAGAAGTAAAATGAATTTGTTTATTTTTCTCTGATAGTCAAGCACAGAAAAATATTAAGACACCACACACGAATAAAATTCCATCTTTACTAGTATTCCCGCTGTGCACGGGAATGTGATGGTCACATGTTTATGTACAGACATCTAGCTAAATAAAACCAATAACCTATGCAGCTTTTATAACTCAAAAAGATTTGTACTCACTATGAATCAAGCTTGTTAAGTGGAGAAAAAACAGTTTAAGGTAGAGAAAAGAATCAAACATTTGTCCTTTTGTCATTTCCTAAACACAGTAGAGTCTTCTCCTATTAGAAAGGAGGCTAAATAACTTCTCAAATCTGTACAAGTAATGCGGCTCTTTATAAAAAGAATAGAAAATATAAAAAGGCAAAAATGAAAGGAAAAACAAAGAGTCACTAGCAATTAATTCCACCTCCCAGGAATCATGAATATTTTGGAATATGTAGTTGTAGACTTTTTCCTAGGAAAGTAAAGATTCTTACCATTTTGTGGCAAACCTGTCAATCTGTGCTAAAGTTAGATTCCTTTGGCTCACTGGTACATGCAGGAACAGGCATCTCTTTTCAGAAGTCTGTGGACTTGCCTTTATTAACTCTACTTGTAGACCTTAACTCTACCACTCCACTAAAAATCCTGAATTTTTCTGTATTCACTGAATAATCTCGTTTATTTTTACTGTTTAGTAAATATTTCGAAATCCAAATTTTGAGCTACTTAATTTTAAAACCATTAATAAAGTACTAGGATTTTAGTTCCAAATACACATACGGAGAAGACCAATGTAATTTTTTTGGTAACTGAAGCAGCTTTACAACATTTGCTTCTATTCCTATTTATGCAGTTGCTTCTTTAACTGAATATCTGAATTTAAGACTGACTTCTTGCCCTGGATGGGTGCTCAGTGGGTTGGAGAGCCATCCCACACACCAAAAACTCCCGCAGTTGCAGGATCCATCAGCGGTCAGGGCACACACCTAGGTTGTGGGTTTGATCCTCAGTTGGGGTGCACAAGGGAGGTAAGCAATCAGTGTATCTCTCTCACATCAATGTTTTTTCTTCTCTCTCTTCCCCTTCCTCTCTCTCTAAATTCAATGAACATATCCTCGGGTAAGAATTTAAAAAAGGAAACATGACTGACTTCTTATTTAGTTAATGCCCTGTAACTCAGCACAATGAGGCATTTTAAGCACTTATTTTAAGAAAATCCATATGTGGAACTAACTGATCTCAGTAAAGAGACTGGGTTCAAAAGGTGACAATACCTTACCTTATCCGCATAAATTGGAATATCATGAAATGGAGATATATACTGTCCTTTTTCATTTTCTGCAAAATAAATTAGAAAAAGTTATTATTTTGGTTAATTATATTTTCAGATATATGAAGTGCACTTTTTAAAAAACTTTAATTTTTAAGAGCAGTTTTAGGTTTACAATAAAGTTGAGATGGTACAGAGATTTCCCATATACCCCCTGCTCTCACACACACAGCCCCTCCCATTTTCAATACCACCCACCAGAATGCTAAAGAACACATGTTCATACCAAGATTTTACCCCCACAACACACTGGTTGTGCACTTCGTCCTTCCTGGCCCTCCTCTAAGACTGGACTGCACCTTCATCCAATGTATTCCTTAGGAATCGAAGAGGTGCTATAAGGGCAGGGGCTGCCTTACATATACACCTTTGTGCCCCCAGAGCCTAGCAGTGCACAGTGTACAAAAAGTGACCAAATTGTTTTGGGTTGATCTTACATCAGTTAGCAGTTTACAAAACTAATGAGATACTTGGGCTTGGAGAGAAGGGAGGGCATCCATTTGCTGAATTATAAACCATGTTACCTTACATGTTATTCCAGGAAGACAAAGCCATCTTAGATTATGATTTTTCTTTGGGATAATCAAGCTGCTGTAACACTTGCACAGGTAATTTTTATATTCTAGAGACCTAACTACTATATCCAAAAAGTAATTAAAAAATTTCCTTTCTTTGCATCCCTTTGGGTTTAGAAACAAAAGTGGAATTGGAAAAATCTGTGACCACTCCCAATTCCATAAAGTTAACTCTGCAGTCCAACCCACTCTGTTTTAAAGGTAAATGTAGAGGTTAAAAAATTCCTATTAAGGAAGGAGTCTGAGAAATCTATCATTAAAAAAACCTTTAAATTATATAATTGGATATAATTATTGGTATTTCTTAAATTCCAGAGAGTTCCATCTGATAAAAAGTTACTTTAGCCAGTTCCAAAGTCAAGGAGTGGCTGTGGTCTTCCATGATGGCTATCGAATATTTGTTACCAATACATAAGATAAAAGCTGTATTTACTCTGCAAATACAGCTTGAATATTACTCAAACCAATTCCTGGCTCTTCAAACCAGGGCCATGCCCCTAAGTCCCTCCTCTAAAGAACTTCTGGTGCCAACACTAACTCCGGAAAAATAGCTCTGTGACTTATTTGTCAAAAGTTCCTGCACTGCCCTTGCTATTTCCAAAATTTAAAAAAATGGGGAGTCCCAACCCTGGACTTTACATGGTAGTCTAATGTTCAACTAGATGTGTACATCTGAGAGTTCACCTACCTTTTCCTCCCACCTGGGCTACTTACTTTTTTGATAGGAGCTTTGTTCATTCTTTCAGGATTCCCATTTGTTCCCTCTAAACCCACTTTACTGCCCTTCATACACTGGAAAACTCACAGAATTCAGTGCACCTGCCCACTTCCTTCCAAATACTGAAACTGAAAAGAAGTTAAAATAGAACGCCTCCTTCATCTCCCATAATCTATTCCTAGTAGTTTAGGAAGGGAGTTGGTAGAGAGTAAAGAAAGATAAACCCGAAGGTAGGAGCTCCAATGGCGCAATCGGTTAGCCCGAGCTACTTATAAGATTAAACCGGAAGGTAGCTCTCCTCCACCTACAGGGCGAAAGGTGGTGTGTCGAGGAAAGTGGAGCCGGCGGCCACTTCTGCTCATAGTGAGGACTTGGGGTAAGTACCCTTTAGACGCCTAATCCCTGCACACGCGAAAAAACTCCGCACTTTCTCACTCGGCTTGCCAGATTGACGTCACCTATTTAACTCGAAGAGAACAGCTTTCTGTTTCATAGGCCAGTTCCCAGCATCAGTGCTTTAGGGAAAACGGGTGGCAGAGGGGCGGGGGGGCTACCGGGATCCCCTCCAGCCCTTTCCATTGAAAGGGATGGGTCCAGTCCTCTACTGAATGCTCACAACCCGGGCCTGTTTCACCGTCTGCAGAACAAGGAGCTGCACTTACTCCGCTTGGTGCCCAAAGTCTGAGCCACAGTGATGGAATTACGGTACTAAGGAGTCTCCTCCCCACCCCACCCCACGCACCCCTCCTCCTTTTCTTCCAAATTCAGCAATCCTCTTTAGGGAATTAGTTTACCTCTAGGCGCCTTTCTAGGGTGACTCTGAGGTTTCCTTTTCTCATCACACTACCGAACACCTACAAAACTAGCCCGGCCCAGATTCGGGTCCACGGAGCCCATGCTCTCCCGACCAAGGACCAGACCTGTGAAATGGGACTTACTGGGTCATCCCAAGTCGCAGCCACCGACCAGAGGAGCCCACCCCGCGCCCGAGACAAGGGACTAAGCACGGGCCGCAGGCGTCCAGGCGGGATGCCGGAGAAGGCCCGGGAATGAATGGACTTGGGAGCGGGAAAGGGCCGCGGAGCCGCCGATACTCACTGAAGAAGACCCGGTAGTCAGAAGTGAAGGGCACGGCGCGCTCCTCACTGCTAAAGCCGCTCATAATGCCGGAGACCAGCCGCCGCTGCTACAGAGCAAGTAGCCCACACGCGGATCCGACTGACAAGGAAACCTCCGCGCCTGCGCACTATTGGGACTGGACTGGGGAGCGGCGCTGAGAGCTGGCTTTATTGCAGCTCGCGCACCCTAGTCTGCGCCTCCCCCGCTCGGCCCATCTCGTGCGCAGGCGCACTCGACCGGCAAGCGTGTCCTTGGGTTCCAGCTTTGCCTCCTCCCGTCCGCCTCCACTGACCCGCCCCTCGCTCCCAGGCTGGGCCACGTGGATGGCAGCCGGTTTTAGTTCTATTATTTGGCCCGCGGATTTTCGAGCTTTGACAAAGGAGAGTAAAAGCTCAAATTCTAAGCTTGAAGCAGCTACGAATTGGACGCCGACCTCTCCCCAACTACTCACAAGAATTCACCTTTGACTCTGGCACACCCTTTCCTACAGAGTAATTACTTATCTTAAAAGTCGTTTATAACTCACTTGCTTTACCAGAAAGACCCTGCCTGCGGTAAAAGTGAGTATTTGCAGTTTTCTAATAGGCCCGTTTAAGCAAAACTGGGCCTATTACTGACACATGTAATGGCTGCCAGCTAAGTACCAGATCCACCACTTTCTAAGTGTATGGCATCAGGCAAATTGCTGTTAACGTCCCAGACTCAGTTTCTCATCTGGGAAATGGGTAGTCACAGTAACTATTTCATGAGTTATTGGGATGATTAACTGAGCTGATACACGTCAAGAGTTGGAGGAAGAGCCTGACTGCTTGTAAGCATTCAGAAAATATAAGTTGTTATTCCCACCCTCCTCAGTGGTGGAGGATTCACTCTGCCCCCGTCCTTGCCTGGTCTATCCCAGGTCCTCAGGGACCTTAGATTGAAGCATTGGGAAAGTCCAGGCTTGAGATCCAAGTCCCCTGAGGACATTTCTCTCAAACAGAAGCTCTTTGGAGCTTATTTTTCTACTTATGCTCCAATTTATCGGGCCAGACCCCAAAAGCTAAGGTCTGATGGAAGTTGTAGGCAGATATTTGCATCACTTATACACCCAATCATAGATGTTAAATATATGTATTTCAAAAATCCTAATTATAAATTAATAATGATTATTCACATTTCAAAGAATGCCTAGTTTTATTTAAAAGTTTGTTCATGGCCTGGGTACCTTAAAGACATTTTGATTTAAACTCTTATTTTTGCAAAACAATGTCCATTATATAAAATGAGGTGTTCAGTCAGTAATACAATGTATTGTTGAATATTAAAGGAATCTATACAGAGAAAATACTATTCAAAGAGTTTTTTGAGATGTTCTTCTCATTGAATTGCTCTCTGTTTTCTGCCTTTGAGCAGATGAAACTAGTATTCTTGGAAAAAAACTAGTTCTCATAGTGACTGACTTATGAACAGACAGAAATAATGCAATAGTGTGCCACGAGTACTTTCCCTTTTGCCTCTTGCCAGCTCAGAGCAAGGTAGTAAAGTTTGCTGACCTGTGGACTTGCGCACTGACTTTTGTATCTTTGAATGTGTTCAGAGAGGCGATCAGTACGAACTCCAATGAAATGTCAAGTCCTGGCTTTACTGGGACACAAGTCAGTGCTTTGTAACTTTCTCTTGCAGGCGAGGGTGGTGAGCCCCAGGGCCCAAGTGGACCTTGTTGTCCTTCTCATGTCTCCCTGGAGCTTAACATGGTACCTGACCTGGAGTAGATTCATTGAACAATGAATCTTTGCTGGACCAATGGATAGAGGAACCAATGAAGAGGAGAGGGGAAAATTCATTCTTTCTTTTCACTTTTTAAAAAGATTTTGTTTATTTTCAGAGACAGGGGAGGGAGGGAGGAAGAGAGGGAGAGAAACATCAATGTGTGGTTGCCTCTCACATGCCCCCCCCCCCACTGGGGACTGGGCCACAACCCAGGGCACTGGGAATCAAACCAGCTACCCTTTGGTTCATAGGCCAGCACTCAATCCACTGAGCCATACCAGCCAGGGCACAAAATACTTCCTTAAGTATATTAGTTTGACAAAGGATGTACTCAACTGTTCTCAAACATTAGCTTTCTTGCTCTGTAACCAAATCCAATGGCACTTTTCAGTCCACACCCTGTCCTGTTGCTGTGGTTGACTCTCTTGGATACCTCCAATTTCCTGATGCTCTCTCTCCTTTGGCTGGTGATTGCATTCTCCTCTGACATTCCTCCTACTTCTCTGGCCACTCATTAATCATCCCCCCCGCTTACCCTTCTCTTCATCTCTCATCTTAATCATGATATTACCTCTCCCTATGTTACCTCATGTATATGCTTGCTGCCAACTACCACTTACAGATCCTGTAACATGAAAATTTTCAAAAACTAAGTTTTATTTAACACTTACTGCGTCCATGCTCTGTGCCAGGTGATAGGGATCTAGCACTTAAAAAAGACATGGTCCTAGCCTTCGCTTACAATCTGAAGGGAAGTCAGACTTCAACAAATAATTCCAGCCAATTTGGATAAGTACAGTAATAGAGGATGTACAAGAAATTGCATTATAGGAGTAGAGAATCTCTTCAAGGAAATGACCTTCACCTGTGACCTGAAGGATGAAAACCGATAAGGCAAAGGGGACAAGCCAGAAACAGATTATTAAGAGGTGAAACCAGAGATGTAGTCAAGGTTAAACAGTAGAGGGCCTTGGAGGCCTCAGAGGGAGTTTGAACTTTTCCCTAAGAGCAATGGAAAACCTAAGAAGAGTTTTAGTAGGAACATGACATGATCAGAATTGCTTTAAAAAGCGACTCTGTTAGCAGCATGGAGCCTGAATTGAGGTTCAGCAACACTAGAGGCAGGGAGAATAATGAGAAGACTGCTGCAGTGGCCCACGGGAAAGAGGATGGTGGTGCCCCGGATCTGGGTGGCAAAGGAAAAGGTTGAGTACAGAGCTATGGTCAAGATAGAACTGACGGAACTGGGGGCTGGCTGCACAAAGTAAAAGATGAGGGTGATGGATCTGAGGATGATTTCTAGGTTTCTGGCTACAACACTTGGTTGATGGTTTGTCATTTACTGAAATAGTTTGCTTGGGATGGAGGGTGAAAAAAATTATAACTCTTTTATCAATCTACTTCCTTGATCATAAGTATTCATTTATCCCCCTTTTGCATGAAAAATACACTCACTCTCCCTACAGAAAGTGATACCCAAAAGTCTCAACCAATCATGACGTCAGGGTCAAAGTTTAATTTCTCATGATAGCACCTGTATTGTATCAAGATATGGCTTCTCTTGATGCAGAGAGTTATGAACTGAAAAGGAAACAAATGTCATCTACTGCCTACCGAATCTACACCTAATATGAAATGGTTGAACCAGGACAGAATAAACACTGAAATAAACACTCATCCATAAAATACTCTCATTCATCACTGGTCCTTACAAATCCAAAATGCTGTTGGGTGTAGGAAACATTTCTTGATTAAGTTCTGGTTGAGCCCCCTGAGAGTAGCTCCCTGTTACTGTTCTTCATAGCTCTTGGCTTTAACTCTCTGGAAGTTCCTTTCTTTTCCATTATCCATCTGCCACATCTGGAAAATATGCACTCCTTGGGGGTTGAATGGCTTTTCAGCTTCCTTTCTGTCCACAGAAATTTGGGAGCCCAGTCATTATCTTTTAACCCAAGCTGGTATATCTTAGCTATACAACTCTCTTTAAAACCTGGAAAGTGTTTTACTGATCTGATTCTAGTCAGTTCCATGTGCCAATCACCACAGCTATAATTCTTTCAAGACATGTACCTCTCTAGGAATAATTGCTAGGGTAACTTGAACTTAACCTGCATTGCAGAGCATGCCCTTAGCCTATTTTCCCTGAACCATTTTATTCAACAAAAAACTCACTGGGGCCTGGCTGGTGTAGTTCAGTGGATTAAATGCAGGCCTGTGAACCAAAGGGTCGTGGTTCGAATCCCAGTCAGGGCACAGGCCTGGGTTGGAGGCCAGGGATGTGTGCGAGACAACCACACATTGATGTTTCTCTCTCTCTCTTCTTCCCTTCCCCTCTCTCTAAAAATAAATAAATAAAACCTTAAAAAAAAAAAAGAACTTACTGGGAGCCACTGCTCATGCCTTTGATGTAGTGACTGTCCCAAAACTGTTTTTTTTTTAATTGTTGTTCAAGTACAGTTCCAAAACTGCTTTAATATGGGATTTAATCAGCCTTGTTACCCAAGCATTTCTCATTTCTCTCCTTTATTGAAGATGAACAACAGTTGCATCTTTCCACCCATTTGGTCCTGGAACTTCTGATTCTCTTTTCCCTTTCATCCCTGCTTACAAAACAGTTCTTTTCCAAGCTCATCTATTTCTTATAGTGTCCTGTCAAACACAGCTAAAAGCAACCAAGGCACACAGGTAACAATCTGTTTCCCAACCTCTTTGCCTAAAATACCTGGTGCACTGTTTACCTTCCAAGTGCTCAAATAATGGAGAGAATCCTATAGAGATTATGGGGGTGGGGAGAGACTAAAGTCCAAATTGAGATGCCCAGAGTGTGGTTAGATAGGAGGCCTGGAACTCAGATGAGAAATGAAGGTTGGCTGAAGTCACTGATTTGGACAATTTAAGTCATAGGAGAAGAAATACACTAATAATTCTTTTAAGAAGCAGAGGACCTAGAATAGAACCCTAAGGAATCTCAATATTCCAGGGAAGGTTGGCAGCAGAACCCCGTCACAGAGGGGTCTGAGAAGGAATGCCAGGGAGGTAGGGGATAAAACAGAGCACTGTGGCGTCTCAGGAACCAGGAGAATGGGGGGCTTTGAGAAGAAAGGGTGCTCCACGCTTACATGCAGCTACCTTCTGGGCTTCCTGCTTGGCTGGCATCTCACATTTACGAAGTCAAAAATGAGCTCACCTTTTCCCTCTTGAATCCTCTGTCTCAGTTACCAGTGCCACAACCACCCAGTCAGCCCCATTGGAAGTTCCTCAAGGTTCCTCCTGGTTAACTTCTGCAGCGGCCACTGGTGGTCTCCCACCCAGCACCTGTTTGCCCTCCCTTCCCCACGGAACTCTGTTGCTGTTCCATGTACCTACCTACCCCTGAAAGGCTGTGTGCTTCAGGGAATTAGGTGCTCTCTCAGCC